AGAGAGAGAGAGAGAGAGAGAGAGAGAGAGAGAGAGAGAGATTCTTCAGGATTCTTACACATTGTAATTTTTATGTCCAGAATATATTTTGTAGTTTTAAATTATTCTTGCTTTGCCTTTTAGTGAATACCATATCCTTCACATATAGTGCTTACCAAGTATAAACAAAGGCTAGTAGAAAAGGATTTCATTTCAGGTATTGACAAAATTTCATAAATGATGTCTTTAACTGAATAATAATTTAGAAAACAACAAAATCTCTTAGCATATAGGATGCAGATTCAAGAAAAAAATAGATTAGGAAAATAAAGGACTCTCAGTAACTTTAATTGGAATTGACTCATTTTAATTTGACAACTAATAATTCGACATTTATGAAATGTGGTCAGTTGTTAAAATGCTCAATTATTAAGTGGAAAAAACGATCATTCGCCATTCAACAGCTTTACCCTACTGGCAGAGAGTCTCTTCCAACTCAAAAGGCAACTGGAGAAACTGGAAGAGCAGTCTACCAAGATGACATATGACGGTGACCCCATCCCCCTGCAGAGAGCGCACCTGCTGGACAGAGTCACCTACTTGATCTACAACCTTTTCAAGAAGTAAGTGAGGTCTCGTCTGCCCCGGGTGGCACCCTCAGTACTGCGGAGCTGTCAGGACGCCCTGCCTGAGGGCCGGGTGTTCAGAGAAGGCACAGCAGGGAGGTCTGACCAATGAGCCGCAGGAAGGAGTGCCCTGAGCCCCGAGAGGCTCCGCCTTCACCACCCATCGCTAATGCTTCTCCCGCAACTGACTCGGTTTTCTTTTTTTTCTTTTTTTTTCAAAGTTTTATTGATAAACAGATAGCAATGAGACAGTTTCAAATCAAGTCGGAAGTACAGTTTCAACAAATAATACACTGCATATATTCTTCTTAGTGGTTAATTGCTGTACAAGGTGCAGACTTGTGATCCTATTTACAAACACCATTAGAACAAATCATTCTATTCATTAAGAGAATGCAACTATATATCTATCCCAACCACTTTGAATACACAGAAACAAAATGGACATTCATCGGTATACCCCATTTTTTCTAAGTTCCGTTATTTTTTCCATGAGCGAAGCTGTGTCACCCACCTACAGCTCCGTTTCAACATTTTAAGAAGATTTCAAGGGTTTCTTCTTAAATGCTTATTCAAGAAATAAGCTGGAGAACATTTTTGGGCTGATAAGCTGACTAAAGAAAAAGGTACTGCTGTGTACTGGAAATCCTAATGTTTTCCTATCTCTATCTCGTGACCATTACTTCTGAGTGGCTGCTGGAAAAGTTCGGGTTTAATTGAACATCTCCTAGATGTAGAAAATTTGAACTTCTTGAAAGGATAGCATCCTGTTCCTCTGTGGTTTGCGGGCTGTTGATATTTACAGTGCTTTTAGATGACAGCTTGACTTTCTTTCCACCTAGCTCTTTTGTGGTTGAGCGACAGCCATGTATGCCCACCCACCCGCAGAGGCCACTGGTGCTCAAAACCCTCATTCAGTTCACGGTGAAGCTAAGGTAGGCAGCCGGCCTCCTCTGCTTCCCTGTTTGTTAGTGTCACCGCACGCGGGGGAGGCTGGTTTCTCTCAGAGCGCCTCATGTTCAACCTGTCTTTCTGCAGCACTGGGTTTCAGTAAATTCCCAGGCGTGTTAGCATGACCCCCTTGCTTGTCCAGAGCAGGACAGTGTGGGCTATTCATGAGGACGCGAGGGACATCCTGTGAAAGTTTCGAATGCTAATATCAGGCACAGCGGGATGAACTGCTGAGAAGGTTGACTTGGGAAGAGGACCCAGGAGACTGGAAGAGGGAGGAGAATTCTGTGAGAGAGCGCAAGCCACAGCCACCAGGACGCCTGAGTCTGTCACGTGACAGTGGAACGGGGAGACAGAACGGAAGAGACAGATGGGGAACAGATTGTGGAGGGCTCTGAATGTCCTCTCCCGGAGCGGCACATTTTCCCTCTATAATTGCCTAGTAACGCGTTCGTCGTGTTTTCCACCAAAACTCTGAATTCTGCAATTGTTGGGATAGACATACTGTGTGCAGGATTTAAAGACACCTGACTTTGGGGTCCTTTTTGCTTTGCTTTAACTGTATATTTGGTCTTTTCCATGAGCACAAGCAATCAAAACTTAGTTTGCTCTAATGACACAATAGTGAGTTTGTGTTCTCTGTTGCAAAGATTTTTGTCATATCCCCACTCCAAACCCAAATGCCAATCTCTGTCACTTCTGGGAGCTGAAGCTGCAGAAAACAAAGGAGTGACACTGTGATAGAGAAAAATTTAGGGTCCTAGGATAGTTCTCAGCCCAGATCCACCCTGGAATTCCAGATTAAAAGCAAGGCACCTGTCTTTGATTTGCATTTCAAAGCCCTAATTAGACCTCTCCTTCAACTCCTTTGTACCAACACCTGGAGAACCAAATCCAGAAGCCAGAGGCCAGGTTCCTTCTGAAAGTACCATTTGCTCACAAGCTCATTTCCCATCCCGCACCCTTGGATCACGCTGAGGATTAGCAAGGGGAAGTAGGATGGAAAGGAAGTGGCCTCCCGTCCCCGAAACCCTGCCAGAGGTGACAGAAGAAGCCAGCCATGCTTCCTGGAAAAGGGGAGACAGAAAAAAGAGCAGGCCCTGGACAGGCAGCATGTGTGCTGTCTTCAGTGACTGCCAGAGGCCTAGACTGGTATTATGGGATGTGAGCGCCCTGTCCCCTTCTACTCGCAGTTGGGGTTCTTCCTCTTCCCCTGAACCCACTCCCTACTGTCTTTATTTTATTTATTTATTTTTTATTTTGCAGTACCAGGAATCAAACTCAGGACCTTGAGCTTGCCAGGCAGGCAACTTATACGCCGCTGAGCTATCTCCCTGGCTCCTCCTACTGTTTTGATAGATAATCCTTTACTTACTACAAAAGTTTGCCCCACACCCCTCTCGCCATGCACCCTCCTACCTCTAAGGGAGAATGACAATGACAGGGACTCACTCACAGCACCACCCACACACCCTTCCTGCACCAGGAGGGAAAGGAGAGTGAAGGGGGAAAATATCTAACTTCCTTGGGCGAGCTAGAACCCACCCACTCCGCACTTTCAATGACTGCACACTCGGTGCGCTCCAAAGCCCGAAGCCACGCTCGTGCTCTGTAGAAAACACTCGAGGGGCTCTTGCTATATTCCACCCAGCCTTGCACTGGGGCTGTCTGTGACTCATGGCTTTATTTCTCTAATGTTGACAGTTTATCATCGCGTCTCCTGTCTTCCCTCTGCATGGCTGGACGCCTTCCTTTCAAGTGCAGCTGTGTCCACCATTTTCCTGACTCTGCCATAACAGTTCCTGGAGGCTGTGCTTGGTTTCTAGAAGGAGCTCTTGATATGCTAGTTGTTCAAAGAGCATATAGGTCTTTTATAGTTATGAACATTTTTCTTGTTCCTTACATGTAATGTGTTTAAAGATTAAGAATGCATCTGATGGGCTGAGGAGATAGCGCTGCAGCCTAAGTGCCTT